GAAAAATAGACCATTTCTTGATACGAATAAAGTAGCCTACAAACCACAACAAACAAGCAACAGCCTTTTTCCATGCCCCAAGGAGCGAGACGAACCTGACCGCCAGAAGTCAGGCTTGGTGTACAAAATCAATTGCACACAGTGTAATTTTAAGTACTATGGCCAAACAGAAAGGTCATCAAAGACCAGAATTGTGGAGCACAAAAAGGCAGTTGCAGGTATTGACTTTAACTCTCAAAGTCGCAAGCCATGTCCACCTTTTCAACCATAACATGGACTTTACAAACGTCAGGGTCATTGGTTTCGAATCCAATTACCACGAGAGACTTTTCCTTGAAGCCTAGCACTCTACTTTGGATCCGAATGCTGGGAACGAGCACATCGTACTTCCAGAAGTCTATAAAGACCTCGCGCGAGCATCAAATACACAGTTACGCGCGCAAGCTTCGCGTCAAGTTTAACTTTAAATAGCGTATGATAACGATCTTCGTTTTTTCATATCACTGATGAAGGCTTAAGCATTAGCCGAAACGTCTGTTTTCAGAAATAACAACAGTCTGAGGCAACCAATTTCCATAAAACTCATGACATCTCCTGACTACACTTTTTCTTTTTTAAACATAGTGGGCCATCATTGACCGAGTATAGTGTGCCATCATTGGCCCAGAATAGTGGTCCATCATTGGCCCAGTAGAGTAAAATGGGTAGCAGCGAAATGTCGGGGGCGCCTGACGAAAAGTTACTAACAAGAAGGGGAGGGAGGAGGTCGGGCACCGACCGGAATAGGCTCTGGCTTGATTAGCCACACAGCTCATATACAGACATGGTCTCCCACCCAGACCTTTTGCGGCCAGGTAGTTGTAAGATCCTACATTTCAGTGACAGTTACACGGGGTATGCGTAGGTGTGTTACACGGTACGATCTGGGTACCAGATTAGTAGAAATATTACCGCTTTTTTCAACAAGCATTACATCTTGATACAATGAGTACGTTTCGCAAATAAAGAAAGGGGCTGTTGCTAAGAGGCCATATTGTTTCGTTTCGCGGTCATAAATTATGGATTATATACATATCTTGTTAAATTGAATTTTAACGAGTTACCAGCTATACAGCTCGCTATAACGTTTCCACTAATACCCGAGTTAGAATCAGGGAGGCCGCTATCTGTTCTTCCCACTTGTCGCAAGTGCGATCAATCGTGCTTCTTTTTCCATCCACAAGTTTTTAGCTCTTTGTTTTGTAATTGTTTACCGTAAAAGTGCACGTTTTCTTGAGCCTTTCGTGAGTTTCTTCATCTTTTATTCAATTAAAAAGCAAACTTTGTTGGGTCTCCACTTTGTGTTTGACAGCTGCTTTCCCGTTCGCCAATCAAGTAGTCCGACTTTTTCGAACCATTAATGTTGCTTTCGAAAAGTTGTGAAAATTGCGAAAAGTATGTAAATTACTTAAAAAAAGAAAAAAAGTTTGCAAAGCTGGCAATTATATGTTATGGGAAAAAGAAGGGGAAACTTACTTTCAAAAAAGAAAGGAAATCCGCACTCGAAAAGAAATTGTAATATTAAAACCGAATCAAATAAGAGCTTTGAATTATAAATGATGTTAATTTTTTATTTAAGTTGTCATCCAATGAGGAGTAGTTTACTTGCTCAGGAAAACAGATTAAGGAGAATTAAGGGAGAGCAATTGAATTGCAGATCATGTCTATCAAGTGAAGAAGTTCCTCTTGGAAGAGCAGTGCGACAACGCGGAAATAAACTAGAATGGCTGTATTAACCGACCAGGTCAA